CCTAGAACCCTACTTCCTATTTTAATTAGAACTGACCTTCAATAGTAATAGAAGAGCAAAAAGTATTAAATGGCTCATTCCTGGAATGGTGATGACAGTCCAGAATGAGGCAGAATGGAGCACTGCACTGAAATTTTGACTAAAATAATCTAAGAAGTCCCATCCAATTTTGTAATTCTACCCTACATACACACTTGCATATTTCAGATATATACCCTAACCACAAATATTCTATTCTTATTTTTGATCTATATCTTTAGATCTATTTTGTATGAGCCCAAAACTACAGATGACAGATATTTTTTCTTACTTTCAAGCTTTAAAACATGGCCTTCTAACACAATAATACTATATTGATCAAATCTAGTGTTAGTTTTCAGAAATAGTATAATTTGCATTCCAATTGTCATCTCAGTGACTATTTCATTATTTGCAGAAACTATTAAGAAAAACATAGAACATTTGAAATATTTTAGTAGTGCAGTTGAAACTCACCATAATCACCAAGCAAATCCATTAGACATGTGAACACCACTGTCATTCAACCACAGATAAAAGAGTGGTTACCAGGCTTGTCAATGCAGTCATTTACTAACACTGGGCTTTTGGCTCATGACAAAAGATCTAGGCAAATATTCTTGAAGGTATACTTATTCATTTATATGCTTTTTGGGTTTGTTTTGTTTTTGTTTTTGATAGACAGAAAGCTGTACATATTTAGTGCATACAGCTTGATGAGTTTGAAGATAAGTATACACCATGAAACCATCACCACAATCTATACCATAAGCATATCCATCACCTCCAAAGATTCCCTGCCATCCTTTATTATTATTTTGTGTGATAATGTAAATGATCAGGACCCTATGAGGCTTTCCTGGGACAGACCCCTCCCCCATACCCTCTGCTTTAGCTCCTAGCATCTGATGCATATTTCCTGAGTTTTTCAGATGCTTAAACCACCACCAAATGGAAGAAATTAACTACTTGATGATCATGAGCATGTAGTCTGAAACTTCTGATAATGTTAACTGCCCAGTTATCTCAATATCAACCAATCAGAGAATTGTGCATGAACTGATCACATACCCTGCAACCCCTCCCCTCCCCTGGCCTTTAAAATGCTTTTCTGGAACCCTGCAGGGAGTTCAGGGTAATTTGAGTATGAGCCACCCGTTTTCCTTGCTGGGCCCTGCAATAAGCCTTTCTCTGCTCCAAACTCTGATGTTTCAGTTTGTTTGGGCTCACTGTGTGTTGGGCACACGAACTTGCATTTAGTAATAATTTGAGCACTTAACCTAAGATCTACCTTCTCAGAAAAATTGTAAGCGTAAAATTCAGTATTGTTAATGATAGGCACTATGGTGTACAGTAGATTCCTAGACTCATTCATCTTGCATCACTGAAACTTTATACCTCTTGACTAATAACTCCTAAGTTTCTGCTTCCTCCCAGCCCCTGGCAACCACAGTGTGTTTAGCCACAGTGGAAGAAAATAAACCTAAGGCATGCTTTTATCTTCTTTGAAGTTTGTGAACTAAATAAAAGAATATGCCTCATTGATGCATATTATGACTGTTTAGGGAAAGCATATTATTTAGTTGGTTCAGTTTTTACTACATACATTTTAGTAAAAATGATGTTATATCCATGTTAGTTGTTTACACTTTGATTTATCATATTACTAAAGTATTGGTTTTTCAAACTTGTAGATGCTGATATGTTTTCCCTTCTTCCCAGAAGCAATGCTCCTTAGATCCACATCAGCAGGACCATATCATACACTGATGACCAAAAGAGTCCATGATACATGGAATCCCAATCCTGATCATTAGGTGAAACAATTCAAAACTCACTTCTAAATTACATACCTTCAGATGAGACAATATTGACCAAATTATAAATAAAACTGACCCTGGGATACCCAAGAAGATCATCCTTGAATTTTTATTCTCACTAAGATGTTGCCATGGTATTGGTGCTCTTTTATTTAAACTTAGAAAGAAGACAATAGAATTTTAACTATGCCATGTGATGCATTAATGGGAGTAAATTAGGATTTTGGAATTAACATATACACACTACTATATATAAAATAGATAACCAACAAAGACCTACTGTATAGCACAGGGAACTATATTTAATATCTTTTAATAACCTATAATGGAAAAGAATCTGAAAAAGAATATATATATAAAACTGAATCACTTTGCTGTACACCTGAAACTAACACAACATTGTAAATCAATTATACTTCCATTAAAAAAAGACAGCTACAAGAATATATTTTAAAAACTGTTCTGTGAAAATGTTCATTTTCATCAAATTTTTCCTCCAATGAGACTCTTCTAGATTATTCTTTATTTAAATTTTAATTGAAAGTTCACAGATTTGCAGTTTGTGCTGTTTAATTTCTGTTTCATGAATTCTGACACTTATTTTTAAATCATTACTTTGTGTCTGATTTACCACATTTTTTACAATGCATTTACCACTTCATATAAATTATACAAAGTAGAGGTTTTGTCTGCATCAGATCTCAGCCACTGCTGTACAAGGCTTTTGGAAGGAAAAAGGAGAAATGATCCCATCTCTGAAGCTCATTTAGGGAGAATACTATATAAATTTGTTCTTACTGTAAGATTGAAATTAATCTTGATTTCCTGTCAAATGTACAGGGATTTTACAATATAGTTCATAATAATGTTTAATTCCTCTAGGGTAGGAGTTAAGATAAACAAGTCACTGACAGTGTTTATCTATAAATATAGCAGATGGTGTGGGACTGAGGTTGATTATTAACTCTGCCGACTTTAATTTCATGGTTATAAAACACAGTAAATCTCACTGTTTATAAAAGGTGGGAAAGAATCTCCAATGGGCTTCAGTAGCCAAGAAATCTTCTGTAACATTAATCTCTCTAACTGATATTTGGTATCCTCCTAGGGTGCAATATTTAAGATTGTGGAGTGACTGCTAGTCACATTAAAATTTTCACTGGGATCATTAGCTAGCATTTCTGTCATTGATCTATTATAACTTTGTTAATGAGTTCCATGTGAGTGAAATTTAGTGAATGAGACAATTCTTTCTATGCCTTGCTAGGTGAATGTTTAACAATTACTTTAGGCAGTTATATATCTAAAAAATAGCCTAATTGATCAAAATCATACGTATTTTCTTACACAAAGATGAATTTTAATACCTAAGTAGGCAAGATGTACTGAATAATCAGCCAGTGTACATTATATAAATTTACATTTAGGTCATGAATCTGCCTAAAATATCACAAAATGCCATAAAATTTAAAAAGAAACAAAATAATTTATTCTTAATATTCCAATTCATTTAAATATAAGATTTGATTATGATCACTTACTTCACTAAAAATCTGTATGTTTAATTTGATTGAAATTAATTCTTCCCCCAAAAAGGACCACTGTGATAAAAATGGTATTATTTGAAATAGCTCGAATTTTCCATTCCAACTTTCTAGTGAATAACAGAATTATTTTATAACCACAAAAGTGAAAAAAATCACAACCTCTACCTCTATTGTTTTTACATTCAGAAGAGGTTGATTTTTCACTTCCTAAGAAGGTCAGACTTTTATAAATATAGGATAATCTGATATATGAGTTGGGGATTAAAACAATCTTGAACTAAAAATGTCTTAACTGCATTGGAGGTCAGACTCCTTGAGAATTAGTTTTCAGTGACAAAATCCTCAGTTACTTTTCTAGCTCTTGTATTGGGCTGCTTCTCCTGGACCCACCCTGAGAGTTTTATTACTGATCTGAAACAGTCTGGCTCCTGTGCTTTCTACCAATTAGTCTCAGCACAGATCTCAAACCTTGACTTCCAAGGAGCTGGCTTCTGACAACATCAGCCCTGTGTGGAGAGAGGCTGAATGGAGCTGTTGGTAATATACCTTCTCATCTCCTTTCCTGTTCAGAGCCTCCTGCCACTCTTGTCATTGGATGCAATACCCTGTTATTTGATACACTCACTTCCACAAAAAACTATCCACTCAGACTTAGACTTCCAGGTCTCAAAATGCATGAAACATCTATAAAAGACAGCAAAGGCTCTCTCAAGTGGAGGCTTTATCTGTTCCCCACCCCCTTTTTTTAAGCCTCAAAACCCACCTGAACCAATTATCATCAAAGAAATTGGTTATTGTGTTATTGGTATGTTTGACATTCATATATGTGTTGACTTGAATCAAAACTAGGGATGATTTCACTTCAAAGTTATCAATAAAGTCACCTAAAATAGTTCTATCAGTTAAGTCTACGGTTTACATTTTCTTGTCTTATGAGTTGTGATGTGAGGGTGGAAATGTGTTTAGAAAAACATGGTCGAGAAGACAAGGGCCACAGAATGGCCAAGAGGATCCCTTCAGTAAGGCAAAAATAGGTAAAAGCAATAGAAAGTGAAGGGGCTAAAAAAGGGAGACAGAATAGGGGAAATAACAAAACCAGATATTGAAGTGTCTAGGTAGAGAGGCAAACAGTATGATTTGTTTAGGGAGTCTCCCTTACATACTTTAAGAATTCATAAATACTGTGGGTCTTAGGGAAATAAGATATTGTTAAAAGCACATTCAAACAATCACTCTTGTAAAGAAGGATTCTTTTTCTGTATCACAATGGGTAGCCTTAAATTACTGTGTGTTTTTTTTTTCCTAGTCTATGTATAAGGTACAATGAGCTGTCTTATAAAATGTAATCACTTTCCTAGTCATGGTTTGGGAAAAAAAAAAAAACAACAACCACACAACTTCTATTATGAAATTATTTGATTAAAGGGTGAAAAAAAAGCTGTTAAAATTGAATAAAAGTACTCCCCGTTTCACCCAAATCTATCATATTTTATTAAGATAATGTCATAGAAATAAAAATTGTTGCCTTATAATACAAAGCAAATTACAACCCACAGGATAAAAATAATGCATGACTTTTAAATACTTTTATCTCATTTTCATTATTTTCTTTCAGATTATCTGACACTGCATAATGTCAAAGGCATTGCATTGCATAAAGGAAAACACGCAAAGGAAATAACTCTCAGCGGATTTCATTCCCCCTTCAATGGTCAGTGAAAAATCCATCCTCTAAAATGTTTTTAGTATTTATTCTCTCTAAAAATCCAGTAATTAAAAAAAAATCTTTTGTTTCTAGAAGTCATCTATGCTGTCATGTGCATGACAGTCACCTGTGGAATTCTTCTCTTGGTGATGGTCAAACTGAGGTAACTGGATGCAAGTCAGAAGGGAAGGGCTAGAAAGGGACCAGCCCTGTGAAAGCACTTTCACAATGGCAGAGCTTACCAGGGCCGAGAAGGAAAGCTTCTCCATTAAGACTTAGGAAACCATTCTTAATGTGGGATGGGTACATGAAAACGTTACTCTGTCTTCATATGTAAGGTAAACGTGATCACAGGGATTCTTTCATGTTGCATTTTATAAGCACATATGCATTGTTCTCCCAATGAAATGGCTCCCAATCATTCCCCTGGTTTTCCTACAAAATCCAGATTGAACTTTGCTGCATTCCTTAATCAGATCACTTGCAGGATTAATCAGCTCATATAATGGACCTGCTGTGTACTTCATACACTTTATACTTAACTGAAAATTTACTCTTCACTCTAATTTCTTATATGCTAATGAGCTTTATTCATATTTTACCATGTAGTTATTAAATGAGACATGTAATGAGGCCTCACTGGGTATCCTCAAAAAGACGTATTACTATTGCCTGATGTTAATTCACTCTTTC